TTACTCTATACTTATAAATAATAAAAAAAAAGAGCCTGATAACAGTAGCTTTATGTAAGCAAGCTTAGAAATCATGCTCAGATAAGTGCTTTTGACCTAAATCTTGTAGCGCCTCGATCTGACATATAACCCCACAACTGTGAAATTCTGTATGAGATTTAGCAGTTTGAAGCTGCCAACTGACCCAGCCATAAAGCAGCCAGAGATAAGGATTTAAGATACGATATGATACAATTAGACATTCACCTCCTATTTATTTCAGTCCGTTTCAGTATTTAACCTACTTAAAAGTTGCAAGGTTTTTATTAAAATGTAAATGCTAGGTATGTATTAATATACAGCTAGTGCTGTATATTTATAGGCAGCTAACAACAACAAGAAAAGACTCTCATAAATTAGATTTCTATGAATGAAAAGGGTAAACAGGAGATGCTTCTGCAAAACTCTTCTAGACATGCAGAGATAAAGGATGGTTCTACCACACAAAATAATCAGATACAAAAATAGCTGTTCAGAAACAGCACACCTAAGGAGTACTTTAATCAAACATTTAGGTTACCTGCCAAAAGGACCATGATCTCTTCAAAATGCAATGCGGATTAAAGTGTTATCTAACACAAGCAGAAAACTAACCTTGGAGTGGAAGTTCGAAATGTGTTCATCATAATTTTCATGTCTTTGGATAGAGAAACCAGCTTTTTCAGCTAGATTGCAAAACTGGTTTAAAGTATTCCCTCGGAGTGGAGCAAATACCATTGCTTTCCCCTGGAACATTAAAAAGAGAATTTATACATTTTTAAAACTGGAAGAGAACCAGATATAACATACACCTGACTAAGCTTTTAATATACTCAAGCTGGAAAAGTCAATTGTTCTCTTGGTAAAATACTAAAATAGGGTAATACAAATAATTGTTCAAAATATGCAAGATTTCTGTGATTAAACAAATGCAAAATAGAAAGTAATATATAAATATTTTCTTTAGAAAACTGCCAACTGCCATACATCTGCTCCTTTTCATATAATAATGATGGCTATGAATTACCAAAATAAAACACAGAAAAAGCATACAAAACATACAATCAATGCAAAATCCATTTATTAGCATATGACCATGCAAAGACTGTAAATAATGATTTTCTTTTTTCACTCTCTCACACAGAAGAGTACCTCCCATTTGCTGTGAGTGGAATTACAACAATGTAAAACAAGGCAAAATGGGAGGCAAATCAGACCAATCATTATTTTTTTAAGGCTATTTTAAACTACCTGAGCAGCGCAACCAAATTTGACCTTAAATTGGTAAATCACATTTAAAGCAGGACTTAATGTTCTTGCATAGCAATTCTGGATCCTTCAAGATGATCAGGCCATTTATGATGCCCAGGCAATACACTATGGTCCATTAGCTAATTTTTTGTTCATCCTTCTGTATTTAAGAAAACAAAAATGACTGTGCCTTGAACTGATAGATTTTAGACTCTGCAAAGTACTAGACCAAAACCTGACCTACTTGATATAGCATCTCTTGAAATCTTATTTGCAAAATTAATTCTAATTGGCTGAATACTGTGTTCTGTCACATGGAATGAAAACTGGTTGAAGAGCTGTAAACAAAGGTTAATACCAGCCAACAGCGTATCACACTGAGGGGAGCCACAAAGTTTCCTGTGAGTTCTTGTATTTAACTTCTATATTAATGAGAGCTAAGACTAATTTGTGAGGCATTGGAATCAACCAAAGAGACGAAAAAATATTTTTAGGGATCTGAAGAAGTTATAAAATGATTAGATGCTGTAGAAAAATATTTGACTTGAGAAAATGCAATAGTGCATACCACAGGAAAAAAGTGATCAGAAGAGAATTTCAGTTGAGAACTCTGGAAATTTTCAATGCTGACACAAATACTTGGTGAAGAGGGTAGGGAACAAATCTGTGTGTTACAGCTCTTGCACACACATGCTGAGACAACGCACAGTGAGGCAACAATAAAAACTCTGTATCAGTATCTATGGTACTAATGTGTACTTAAAAGACTCCAATCAATAATACCACAACACTGTATTCTCACAATGCCTTTGTGAGATAGGAAAACATTATTATCCTCACCTTCCTCATGGGAAATTTAAGCACAAAGGAGACCTAGGGCAATACCCAAAGCAACTCCCTTCTGTTCATTTGTGTAGCTATAACTTTAATTCTGTGGCTAAATATGAGGTGCAAAGGGGTGTAACTCCCACCAGAGGCACTGGAATTGCTTATGTAAATGTTAGGTCTGAATATAGGCTCAGCTCAGGATGAAAAACATTAAACACAGGAAATACACAATTGGTTCCCTCACATCCTTTGCAAGGTTTAATGTCATCAGACAGAAGTGGGCAGCAAAGGGAGCCTTCAGCTGAGGATCTTCCTCCTCCTGCTGCCATCTCACGCTCCCCAGAATGTTCTGCAGAGGCCCTTCCTGGCATAAAAAGGATGAGACTCCTCTGGAGTCCCTCATCCTCATGGGCAGCTTCACATAGCGGTCACTGTCACAGGAAACATGTCCCCCCACCCATGTCTTACTAACCATACAATTCACGTGGGGACTTCAGGAACGGCTAAACCTCGTGAATGGGGACTGCTGGAGGCCACATGCTCTGCATCAGCCACTGATCCAGCAGTTTTGATGAGGAAGCAATGCTCATACAACATCACCCCCTTGCAGATTTCCATTTGGAATCACCAGTCCATGCGGTCAGTCATTCCTTCTCATACTCTCTATAGACTACTTCAAATTTAATTTGAAAGAGAAATACAGTAAAATAGAATGTAACATTGTGTGAAATATCTCTTAAAATGAGACCAAAAAATCTCGAAGTAACTTTGAAAATGGGGAATGGCTTTTTATAGCAATCACTACACAGTTACTTTTGAATAGCTCCTTAGTTGCCATAAAAACCCATTCACCTACTGAATTTAGTGTGATCTAAAACACCTGAGGATCTTGTCCTTGCTGATAAAAACAAGAAATCATGATTAAGTTCAATAGTACAATAATCTCCTCAAAACTGGCAAGTACTATGGAGGTACTATAGTCAATTCTGGTCTGTTATAACCTGGATTTAAAGCATTTTCTTGTCAACTGCATGATCTCTGTGATCCTGCTACCTGTTGAGGGGCTGCATTCACATTTCTAATTTTAAAATGTTTTTCATTTCCTGGTTGCTGTACAATAAAAAATTACACCAGTGGCCTGGATCTACATTTGATGGACTATCCTAAAGTTGTTTAAGTCTTAATTCAAAAGTGCCTCCCAGTTTAGGAACATGTTTAAAGTTCAAAATGGCCTTTCCTCAGCCAGGAAAATACTTCCAGTAAACTTGCGAACAAAACACAGAGGAAAATGTCAGTTAATAGTCTGAAGTGTCACTAAAATACTGCAATAAGATAATGGGACAGATGTTCCCATTTCGACAATGACTAAGTTTACTCATCAATCATTATTAAATGCAGTCTTATTTGTTGGTAATAATCATGCCTCAATAGCTTCCCATTGACTTCCTTAGGATTTTGAATGGACAAGCCACAGAAGAATCAAACCCTTCATAAAAAATATTCTTAATTAGGGAAATATCCGAACAAGCAACTGCTTATTCTGAGGTTTAAATTAAAAGTATATTTTAATGATAGGAAAAAAAAAACCCTAATGCTGGCAAATCAAGTAGCTTGCTTATAAAGAAGAATAAGATATAGACATTAAGGATAAATTTCTTTGGTGTAAAATTTCAGTGCCTATTTCTTACAATTGGTTTATGGGTGACATTTGCCTTTGTAACAAATTCAGAGAGAAATTTCAGCCCCCAGTAACTTTGCAAACTGCTCCTTTCTGCCTATGTGAATTTCTGGTCCTCTGATATGAGCATTGATCTGGGCCGAAAAAAAATACTTTTTGCATTTTTTAAAACTAGGATCAGCTTTGTGGTTCAGATCACCTCTGGTCCCAAAAATTACGCACTCTGACAACTGATTATACATCATGAAAGTCAGAATGCATCACTCTGGGCAGGAGCTGCTTAACCTCCCCTTGCTGCCACTAACACAAATATCTGGGTGACCTTTTCCTCAGGGTGGCTACATTTCTCCCGTCTTCCTGGCAGTCTTGCTCCACAGCTCATTAAAATAATTCAGTCTTAAGTAACTTGGCTTAGGTCACTCAGGAAATTCTATGATAGAACCAAGAATAGAAACCTGATCACTCTTAGCAAAGAATGGGATTACTTACATGACTAAACCAAGTTGGTTTCTTAAGCCTTTGCACGTTTGGGTCTTCTATTCCTTTTACAGAGAAAATCTCTTGTACAAAAAGTACAATACAGTTTTTAAATAAAGTTTGGAGAATGCATTGCTAACATGAAATACTTTTGGTTTGAAATGGAAAGTTTACTTTACTGGAAGATTTGTATGTTAAGCATGAGATAAAATTCCTGTTTCAAATTGCTGCTTACAGCAATTAGCAATTATTTTACATGTTTTCTCATATTGCCATTTTGATATCTTCTTTTGTTGTTGTTGTTGTTGTGTATATGTGCATAACAGCTTTTTCTTTTTTTTTCCTGTAGACCTCTAATTTAACAGCCTAATAGATTGAGATTGGTAAAATATTTCCTCAGTGAAAGTCACGTAGAACATGTAAGCATTTTATGAAGAGCTTAATTTCCTTATGTTCTAAGGTAGAAAACATGTAAACACAGGGCTTACTTACTGTAAAAAAAGTTTTAGACTACAATATATGCATATGGGTTTTGTTAATTTTATATAAACAGAAATGAAAAGAAAAAATATTATTTGATAATAAATAAATACACAATGACAAAGGTTACAATTGAAGGGATTACAAATGACAGAAGCCAACATAAAAACTTTCAATATTGTACTTTTACTTTAATATGAAGACATTATTATCAAAGGAAAATACTTGAGAAACGCTTTGATAAAAATAATCTCACACTATCTTTGAAGCGGTTTCATTTATTTTACTACCCACTGTGTTCCTTATCAGAAGGCCAAGTATAAGAAGTTTCCTAGTTTATGATTAGGAAAGAATCTGATAGATTAGAAGACTCAATTGAAGTTGGACATAATAAGTATTAAAGTATTACATGACATTAATCCTGCCATTCCATTACTCTCTCAATCATTGTGCACAGACTAATTATTCTGAAGCCAGTGTTCAGGAGAAAATAGAAACATACTTACACTGGGTTGGAGTAATCTCTTTATTGCATCAACAAGGCTAGCTCTGTACTGGTCCAGAAACAGGCTGACATTGAGAAGAGAACAGAATCCAGATTAAAATGGGTTTTCAATTCTAATGATACTAATGCAGATAAGTACAAGGCTAATTACATATGTTTACACAATGCTATAAAAGAGAAACTGTGGTCTACATTTCTGTCCAGTTCAGATACTTTTAAATATTAAAAGCCACATAAACCCAAATATAATCTAAATCAACGCTAAAATATCAGCATGAAACAGATCTTTATATAGCTGAAATTCACAGATCACATATGCTAGCTATTAAAACACTACCATATCAGAAATCAGGATCAATATACTGAGACAGCATTTTACTTTTTTTTTTTTTTTTTTTAATACAAGGGAAGGTGGAGTTTTAGAAAGTATTTTCTATTGTATTTCAGGTGTTGCTATTAAGGTTATTTTTCTTCCTTTTACCTTCACAGTTGTGGCATTAATTCGTTATTAATTTGTATTTCTTCTATTTATGTATCTATCTCTATCTATCCCTATAAAGATTTACAAGCCTCTACCTCCTCTCTCGCTCAAGCACTGTTCAAATACACAATGACCCAGATCATATAGAGCTGTCCTCTCTCAAGAGTGAAATCCTTCATCTTCAGCATGGGTCCCGCAAGGGTAGCAGCAGAGTCAATTTTCCCATGCAATGTTGCCAACATGCTCAGCCCTATTTTGGTGTGATTACCTCATGATTTGGGGATAATTCATTCTTCATGCCCCTCAGTACCTTAATGTATATACTAATAGTGGCAACCAGGGTGCCAATCACTCTTGACTAGATATTTGTGGACATGTAGTTACTGTGGATGAGAGTGCATTTACAATGGTTAGTGAACAACTATCAGATAGCAACTGATGCCTTTCAGTCCTTACTATCACGGGCTGCATTTATACTGGTGCTTCAGATAAGAAAGTCTATCAAGCAGGCCACAAATAATGTGATTCTTTCTTCATTATTTTTCATGCTTTTTCTGTAATAAAACTGCTTCCCAGCCCATGTCAAGCTCAAGTTCTACACTACATGGCATTTTGTCCATTCTTTATGACTTTTTCCCATACTCTCCTTTATTCTCAAACATCTTTTTTTCTGAAGAGATGTGGGTAACTTTTTTCCAGGTTTGAAATTTCTAAAAGAATATAAAGAATGTATGAAAACACCGAAGAAAAAAAGTGGTCTGCCAACCACATGCCAGTCATCAAGAACAGAATATGTGTGGGTATTTAGGAAAAAAACACTCCACAGCTAGCAAGGAGAGTACAATATTACATATCACAGGATCAAGCAGCTGTGTAAGAGCTGCAAATTTTTGCTACTCAGGGGAAAAAAGAAAAAGCCTATCAGAAAACTTGTCAGTGACCAAATTTCACCAGTAAAAACTGGCAATACTTCACATTGTTGAGAAAATATGGTAGACTAGGTAATCATACATTTCTTAAAGAACATTTCATATAGAAGTATAACCTTTTGAATTTCTTCTTAAGGTACTGAAGTACTAGATAACAATTTCTCTGATAGCCTGCCCACAAGTAAATTTAAATTTTAGCAATTGGCATGATGGCTGCCCTTCAGCCTTGATTAATCTTACTGGAAGAGTCCTACTGAAAAAATGCTTGTTTAAATTTAATTCATTGAAACAGCAGATGATATTTCTTCTAACGTCTCCTGGGAGTTTTAATCATATTCACTTCAGGTAGATCCCTCTACAGATAGATACCATAAGACACTACTTCACTGGGAACTTAGCCACCTGCAGAAGAGGTGGAATATAGTGCATGAGTCCTCTCCCAAATGAATCATTAAAAATAATTAATTTTCTTCGATAGGAAATATCACAAGCATGCAGACATTTAAGACTTGCTGAGATCCTGTGTAGACAGAAGTACATTCCAAATGAAAAATGCACTTATAATATTTTTATTTCTGAAAGCAATGTAGTGGAAACAATTTTGGGGCAGCTTACCAATGCTAAAATTCCTTTTTCATGGACCTGCATCCATTTTCTCTTTTTTCAGTGAGACAGGGGCACATCTGCTGCTACCAATCTTGTTCCTTTACAGTGAGAGGACTACAGGCCTTTGTTCCCCAGAGTGTCTGAGAACTTAAAATGGTTACATGTACATGACCTGCTAGATTAGACAACTTCAATAATACCTTTTCTGTCCAACCCCAATTGATATTTTGGCAGTATGGGAGGTAGATTCTTAGCCCTCTTAGCTTAGAAAGTCCAGATAACCTGGGACAGTTGCCCTGGCTCTGCTCCCAAGTTGTCCCTGCCCTCCAAAAGGCCTGTCCCTTGGAACAGGACCGACTTCAATTGAAAAGAGTCTCCAATATTGTGATTTCCAGTCTGTTGCTCTGTGAGTCATATAACCAGAAGGAACAGAGAAGGCTGGAAGCGATGTTAATGCAATGCAGTGGCTCCAGGGAACATCTCTATCCTCCCTCTGAGTTGAAGGATGCTCTGAATAAGGAAAATCTTGAAGAAGCCATTAGATAATCTGTGCTGCAGACAAGGCCAGCCAAGGGTATGGCCCAGGCACAGAGATTTAGTCACACAATTTCTCTTACCAGTAGAATTTGTATGACTAAATATTACCACAGCATACTGAAAAGACAATACTTTAAAGCTCACAACTCAGTGAAATTAAATAAAGTATTGTTCTATACCATTCACACTCAGTTCTCACACCTCAATTCAAATTTGGCTTAGCTCACCATTATTTTAGTAGCAATGTCTGATGTTTATGTAGTAAGGATGAAAGCAGTAGCTCAGGACAGAAATAGCAAGGTTTTCTTGGGTCAGCAAGGAAGTTTTGGATCACGGGAGCAGAGAGGCCTGATGATTCAGCCTTTGTTTAGGCAGTACTCTTAACCTATGAAATCTGCATGAATATGCAGACAATCTTGTCCTCTCTCCCCTTTTGTTTCTGTGGGGGTTTTTTGGGTTTTTTTTTTCTAATTTTAAAATACTATTATAACCAAAATGAAAGTGTATACCAAAACTTTACAGAACTAACAGTAAGCCATGAGGAAACAAACTGTAAACCCAAGTAGGCTCAGTTTGCTTCATGCTGATATCCTTTTATTTTGTGCCTTGAAAAAAGGAACATATATTTTATAGGCTATGACGTGAGCTTATTTTTCTTTCTGCATACTTCACAATTAGTAAAAGAGCTTAGTTTATAGGGGTACTTCAGGCATGATTATGTTCAGGTATAGTGCCTAGTGTATAGAGCCATTTATCTTTTTGTTCGCCTTCCAACTACACAGCTGACATAAACTGAAAAAAAACCCTATTTCCATATTGTCAGATTCCAATGCACTTGAAAGTGTGTGCAAGAAATCAGGCTTAAAATGAGTACCAAATTTAAACTGAAGTTCAGAGATCTTACTACATTCCTGCAAACAGATTTCCTTATATTAAATGAAACCCACTAACAGAAACTAAATTGATGTATTTTAAGATAATACTTTCAGTTAAGTTCTACATTCCTGGTGAATCCACAACTCCCCATGACTTCAGCAAAAATCTCAGCAGTGAAATTAATGTGGGATAGCCCCCCTCCCCGCCTTCTGTTATGCATATGCCAAACTTCAAGAATATAATAGTCTAAATAAAGTGGGATATTATACATTTCAAAAATTATATGGGGATCTAGACCTTATACTGTCTCTACATTAAAATTATTTGTGAAAACTTGTTTCACAACAATGTCAAAGATTTTCCTATTGGCTCAGTCCTATTGGCCTTGACTCTCCTTGGATTAAAAATATCAGCAACTTTTTCCATAATAAAGAAAAGAATATACACTTCCTTTTAAATAATTAGAAATCTGAGGTTCTCTAGAGCTTTGGAAGAGTCTTGGTTTTGGCCTGTTACTTCTCTTATATTCATACGCACAATTCCAGCACCTGTGTAAGTTTATATTGACAAGTATAGGTCAAATGAAAGTCTAAACTTCTGGCAGCCCTCACCTGGCCTTAAAATTCCCCCTCAAAAATATGAGGTGGATGGATATGCTTTAAAATTTCCACTATTTTTCTCCAGTATATCCTTCTTCCAGGTGTGGCCTCGCCAAGATTTTTTTCCCCCTTATTTTTATCTCATAGTTGACATTTTACAAGTTATTTCGGAACTGCTGAACCATGAAACTATTTTTATTGTCGAAATCCTGAATGGTTAAATAATGACTAGCTTTCACAGTTTGCCTCTTATTTATTTTATAATCTAGTTGAGCTACTAAATTTAGCTGTTAACTAATAGACTGTCTGTTCTGAGAAATAACTTATTTTCCACCCCTGCACACCAGGTTTATGAAAGTCTGACTGTAAATATATGAATATAAACATATCGCTGCTTGTTGTAATCATGTACATTTTTACTTGAACCTCCATGTGGATTTGGAATATGTTTATGAATAGAGCTTGTTTTCATGTAAATGGGATCAAGCAGTACCACTGGTTAGCTATTCAGAGAATCAGACAATATCACTGTTGCTGGAAATACTTGAATAAAAATTTATCCATGTACCTAATATTTGAACTCAGATTTTTTGCTTTCTAGTTCTCTGTTCTAATCTCAGATTTTATTGACTGACAATGAGCTATATGATGGTGTTAAACTAAATGCAATCTATTCTATCTGTTTTTATCGCTGCATACTTCAGGTTTCAGCTGAGGAGCTATAAGAAAGGAGATTTTTTTTTTTTTTACTCTTCAATGGCAGCCCAAAAATTCAGAGAGCAAAAATCCTGCCAACAGTTCTCAAGCCGATTCTATATCTCAGAAGAGAAATACATGAAAATGAAAAGATTTGAGTTTGATAAAGCATGGAACATTTTTTTGCCCAGCCTTTTCATGTACCAGAAAACCTAGTGTCCATAACTAAAAGAATGATTTATAAAAGAAACAAACAATAAAGGGATTTTCATGCTTATTAAACTATATTTATGGGCACTTGCCACAAGAAAATACAGACAATTTGTGATAAAGCCACGTACTTTAAACTAACCTTCACATTTCTATTTATTTTTTAGAAATCTATAAATATTTATACACTTACCTGCATCTTAAGTGCTTCAAAATAAATGTACAAAATGCAGGGATTGCAAATGCATTATGTATTTTACCTGTCATGTTTGATTCTTTGTTTCCTAAAGAAACTACACTATTTCCAAACAGACTGGGAGGAATATTGGGCAAGAATATTACTGAAAAATACAACGTAAGTCTTGCTCCACTCTGCTGTACTCCCAGCACAAATAGGATGACATGGTGTGAGTATCAAGAATACAAGAGATGGCACAGCCAGGTTGTTTTGATATTTGTGTGAAGAACAAATTTAACTCTAAATCTCTTGGCAAGACCTTGCTTCACCCACATAATCTGGAGAACATCCATATGTGAGCCTTGTCTAAGCCTCCGAGAAGACTGCTGCCCTCCTGCTCATGTCCGCCAGCACTCTGATCTGACTTTCATACTTAATCTGATCTAATCCTGTCCAGCATTAACTTCATCTGTGCAATGAAACCTGGAGTATCCATTCTAATATTTGGTGAGGAAGGCATTTACTAAATTACTTGCTGAAATCATATGGTGTTGTTTAGCTCCTTATTTTAATCAGATGATGCATCTCTGAGGCACATTATCAGCGATTAGTTAGAAACCCTTCTCTGTCCTTTTTGGGAACAAAGAACTTTTCTGAAATTAAATGTTAAGAGAAATGAAGCACTGTTGCATTCTGTCAACAAATAGGTATTAGAAAAAGAAAGAGATGACTAAACATACTTTATCCTGTGCTATAGAAAACCAGCAACTTTTGTGAAATAAGAAGAGTTTGCTTAAATAGCTAATTATCAGAGGGGAAAAAAAAAAAAGCTTTAGAGGAATATTTTCTCAGAACCCACCTAAAAAGACCATTGTTTAAAAAGACAATAGACAGCTTCTCACTTCCCTTTGCCTTTTTCCTTTTGCTATTTCTTAGTAAGGTACAGAAATCTGCTTTCCTAGGAAGTCCCTGTTTTCAGAATTTGGTCACAACAGTTATGTGCAACAAAACATAAACAGCTTTTTCTGTTTTGAACATTTAAAGGGTCAAGAGCAAATATCCATGAAGGAAAGACAGATTCATTTAAAAATATCTACTCTCCTAAATGAAATTTGCACATCTCTTTTTCCACTGTCTCTATTTATATAACACGAATAATTTATAATGCACCATTTTTAAAGTTAGCATGCAGCAAATACAGCACAGCACAATTCTGCAAATCCAGTATCAGAAAAGGGTTGTGTCAATAATGAAATCTATTTGCATAAATTACTAAACAAAATACTATATTGTTACACGTATCTACCTTTCTATAAATTAAGTTCTGTTCTTATTTTTGTACTAAGAATTCTCTTCCACAATTAACACGTGCCTGTGTAAATAATATAAAGTCTATGTCAACAAATACTGCTGTCAAAATGATTTAAGAAACAGAATGTGATGGAGGAAAAAAAGGTTTTGAAAATCTTTTTTTTCCTCAGAAAGATTTTCCGGGGAGCAAAAAATATATCCCCTTATATCAATAGTCAGATCTTTCCTAAGAAGTAAGCTAATTGAGCTGTTTGTGTTGATAAACTCCCTTTTCTCCAGACTGTTCCTCACTGAGCCATAATTATTTGCAATTTGCCTAAGTCGTCCATTTACTGATACGTCAAGCATGAAACAGAGGCAATTCCAGAAAATGGAAATGCTTCTCAAAATCAATCTTTGGGAAATAATGTGGTAGAAGTTACTGTGTGATAGAAGACTACCTTATAACTGTCACATGGAGATGAATATTAATTTGTTGAGGTTAAGGTGGCTTTGTGCTTCATTTGTTGACTTTGCTTAGCCATCAGCAAGCAGCACAGTACAATTACTCCAGCAAAGCTATTTTTCTAACATGAGTTTTATGATTTTTATGTACTTACCAGTCAGCACACATAACAATGTCAAAATGTCCTTCCAGTTGAGAGACATCTGTCTCATTATCCCATCGTAAAATGCTAGAGGAAAAAAAGATTAAAAAAAAATGAAAAGAAAAAAGGACTTACATTTTTCATCTTGAGATTTTAAAAGTATTAATATTATTCTCATGTGACACAGAAGTGTTTTAAAAAGTACACACTCGTTACTTTCAAAGATGAATGTAAAAATATTTTTCTGTAAATTTTTAAGGTTTTAAATCTCAAAGCTAAAGAGCTATTTTTTTTTTTTAATAACAGAAAGGCAATCCACACAGGTTCTGATGAGTGGATCACAAAAAAAAAATGCATTTCTGAATTACTGGCAAATGTATGGCTTCAGATTTTCACTCCTTAACACCATTGCACAAGGAACTGAAGTTGACAATCTGAATGAAACACAAATTTGCAGAATAGATGTGAATACATGGATCTCTGTTACATCTGGCAGACAAGTCAGTTGTGTTTCTCACTGATGAAGTGAGCATTCACTTGGGCTGGAGGGAGGAGGGACAGGGTGAAAAAATGCCAAGCTTAACTTCAATGCCAGCTATGTTGCCTCAGGCAAGCTTAAAAATACAGTAGTGCTGACTCTGTCAGCACCTATTCTCTCACAGGTGATAAGTTGTTTAATTCTCAGGTAAGCAATAGTAGGCAAAAATGCACATATGTACAAAGTTTTTCTTTGCTTATAATTGCTGCCTATTTATGTAGCAGCCACAAAGAATTTCAGTACTTTGCTCCCATTTAAAAAACAGCAACTAGTACTGGATATTACTGCATACTTAAAGCATCATTACACTGAAGATTTGAAGCTGCATTTCTATTTCTAGGCTATTAAAAAAAAAAAAAAAGAATCTATCCTTCTTTTTAATTTCCTGGTTATTTCTAATAGAAAGTAGATAAATATTTATGGGAAAAGCACTTGTGGGGGAAGGGCCTAATCTGATCTTGTCAGGTTGTGCATGCTTATCTCAGTTTTGTATGAGTCTTGACCAAACAGACCCTTTAGTCTTCCCGCAGCTATAATCTACTTCTGGTTAAAAGCCATCTCCATTCACATCCTACTCTTAATATTTAACTGAGGATCAGTTATAATGTGTTCATTCAGAAATGTTCCCTAAGTATACAGGAAAAAAAGGAAATTTTATACATTGACTATACTATATGCAAAAAAGGCTTGTAAATACGTAGGTAGATAAAGAGCCATAAAGAATTAAGGTGCCACAATATGCATGGACACATTGTATACAGAAACAAAATTTGAAAGAATGCTTTTCAAACATGAAAATTATGAAAGGAGAGGCCCAGTTGGTTGGGAAAGCTTTGATTATGTGGGGCTCAGTGTAACTGAAGAGATCAGGACTCATTAGCCCATTTGCCCTCCTGGAATTTACTGTGACAATCCAAAGAGAGAAAAGAGTAGATTAATTTAATTTTTCCCCCTCAAATTGAAAGTAATCCAGATTTTAGAAGCCTAGGTAGCTTTGCACACTGGCACGCAGCAGGCATCCAGTAGTGGAAAGTGACAAAGGAGAGTTCTCACTCTCAGCTGCTGGCTGCCTGCTGGCTACCAGCGGCTTTTTCAACCCTGTTTCCGTGGAAACTTAGGTTAGAATGGTGAAAATTAGGTAAAGGTAAGTTTTGTGGGTTTAAAGCACGCACTCTAATACTTTAAGAATCCTGAAGCAGAACTGGAAATTGGTAGATGAACTGGGAGCCTTAAAAGGCCACCTTTGGTTTCATTGCTACAGAAACAGAGATCTGATCAGTACCACTATAGGGATTTGAATTACGATTTTTTTAACCCATATATTTACTATACTTCACACATGCAGTCCAGAAGGCAGCACAGGTGGCTCCTCCTGGAAAAAAACCATCCTCTTTCATGTTACTGTCAGGTTCCCGCTGAGCATCCAAAATACAGCATTTTCTGTGCACACCTACTGTAGGCACAAAGGAGTTTGTGTGGGTACGTAAAAGCTCAGAAACCGTAACGCTGAGCAAACTACGGTATCGGTGAGTTGCCAGGAGCATGAGCAGTGGTGCAACGTGACTGGCACGTGTGCTGTTAGGAGGACTAAGCTAAGGACCCCATATCCAGTCATAAGCCAGTCTTCCTCCATTTTCCTGATCTAGCACCAGGGCTGCTCTTAATTAAGTCTTTAGCTTCAGTACTGTTGCATTCCCAAAGACGTGATCATTATGCAAAGGCCAATGATAAATTTGCACGTAAGATTTTCAAAATCAACTTTGTCGTAAATTTTCAAAAGGTACAGGAAAATATTCCTGCGGAGAAATAACCACATAAAGTAAAGATAATTTGTGTTAAAAAAATATCAACAGGACTCATTTTGATCTCAGTCAGGATGTATGCACACTGGTGGGAGAGATGCAAAAAGCTGTATATATTTATCTATGCTATCTTTAGGCAAGTGCAAGTATGAGTAGTAAGGGAAGCACAGCTAGGGTATGTGAAGCTCAATACTGGCTGCAACCTCCACAACTGTTTTGGTAGCTAACTCTGGGCTACCATATCTACATCATTATCCGTTTAATGCCCCCACAAATTCGCACGAGCTGCAGTCAAACATCTGTACCTGCACCTGTAAAGCAGACAAGCCCCCAGCATACCAGGGACTCAGACACAATTCTGCTCCAAGTCAGCATTATTACATCATTATCAGTGATGTCAGAATCAGCCTGATTCTGAATCAGAATCAGCTATTTTGAATTCTAGTGCTAATGAAAGTAGTGAATCAGAGTCAGGATGTATAAAAATATCATCACTACACGTACAAGTTCTTGTATTCCGACCACAATTCCTGAGTATGAAGTACAAAATAATCCACCGATATTGCAAAACATCTCTGAGTAAGGTAAAGATGTGTATATATGTATCTAAATGCATGTATCTATACATAGTAAGGGAGTGAGGAAAAATAATTTTTTGATCAGGGAGGGCTTGGACATAGTGGTCAGACCTGAAAGAAGTGCCAAAGGCACCATGAAGTAAGGGCTGATTGCATTTCCATATAAAGAAAAGCACTGCTAGGAAACCCAAAAAAGCGTTAGCAACAGAAATCTGAAAATCTCAGTCTTTATGAAGTTTCCTTTAAAAAAAATAGATGTAAGTATAAAAATACCATACCACAGAAAGTCTTCTAAATTGCCAGTATCATGTTGAGTGCGACCATGAAAAAATTGCAAGTCTTGTTAATATTTTCCTCTTGTTGCATTTCTAATAGTGCTAAATTAGTGGACATAAACCACTTTTTTTCTAAAGTCAGTTTTCTTCCAGCAAAGTAAATTTTAAAGCTATAATATTTTTATGTCTTTCTTTTGAGGGAAGACACTACAGTACTAACAGCTGAAATTATTTTGTAAATTTGAAAAATGTGCTTTACTCTGTATGTCTGTCCAAGCCACACCTTCAATGGCTTTTTTGTAAAAGAAAACAACAAACAACTAACATATTTAAGGCTGTGTAAAGCCCACTCTTGACATTATTTTGTGCTGGGTTATTTAACTCATGCAGGTTTAATTTCTTGCCATTGAAAACAGGCAACTCAGTTTCAGCCAAAAAGGATCTGAAAACCACTGGAAATATAAAACAATCTGGGAAAGCTTTTTTGGCTTCAACGGGAACATTAAAATATGAAATAGGATGCAAGTGAAAAACACTACTGCCGCTGTTCAGCTACTGCTTAGGTCAAACTGATGATGGCTGAAACTTGGTACCTGCTAATGGCTGCTTTATGGCCTGTATCAAATGAATTTGACCAGTTTTCAGAGGAAAAGTACCCACGTCACACACTTATTACTATAATTAGTAATCTTGATGGTAGTCCTAGCAAAAAGGATAAGGACTGAATGAGCTACAGGGAATGAACTATCCTCTCACATGCAGAGGTGGCTCTTCCAGGTCAGGGATAAAGCATACTATCAAAATAGCCTGAGAAAATACGTACTGATGCTTCAGCAGTTTCTTAGGCTGTCAACCTTACACCATTCTAAACCAACAAATTCATTTAAAAAAGCCCCAAACAACACACTACACAATCAATGAAAGCATTTTTTTCTTTTTTTTTTTTTTTTTCCCCCGTGATTAGGTCAAGATGAAAAGAATTACAATGATAATAGAACAAAAAGATCAACTAAGAAAATAGAAAATTTAAGTACTACCAACGTACCCCCAAACATCTTCTTGCATTTCAAAGGGAAAAAAAAAAAAAGACAACAAAAGAGCAAATATTGCAAGGATAGTTACGGCAGCCAAGGCTGCATTTTCCCTGTACAGTATTCCTAATTTATGGAGGATAACCTGACAAATGTCGACACTCTTTCTTAGACTGGTAAAGTATCTCAGCAATCTACAACAAAAGACCTGATTTTACCAGGTTTTTATTTCTCATGCAAAATTCCTCATTACTATTATTATTCAACTTCTGTTATTCAGTGTTTGTCTTTCTAGTGTGTCTAGGCAGGTAACTTACATAAGAAAAAACAGGTTAAGTCTCTGATTATTAAAACTTGAAACATTTCCAAGTCCCTCTGAGATGTTCTTGTGATGAATGGCACAGGCTAGAGTAGCTCTCAAGTTGGCAGAAAAATAGTTGTGCAGATAAAGACAAAAAAATCAAAATTATAAGAAAGGACAAAGGCACAAAAGCCTTACTTGCTTCAAAATGTATTAGCAGTTTTAATAAAGATAAAAAAAATTGTCCCACTTAGCAGATTAACAGCTACCAAGAACCCCTATCTACCCACCTCTTCTTTTCATATTTTAATTTAGGCTTCAGTCTTTGAAAAGCATTATCATAGGTAAGCACACAGGTTCAGGTAAAAGATTTTGTCTGAGGGTTTATATGACTTTTTCTATGACATTAACCAAGCAAGTTTGTTAACAGATTAACAAAAGCCATAATCAGGATGTTTCTCCTCACCTTGGTCTTTGTTTGAGATTCCTCAGTTTTGTATAAAGATCAAGAAGGTGGACCTTAAATTAGTGACAACATGTACATCTATCATTACAACTTCTC